TCCATGATTCTGTGTTGACTTAAAATGCCTTAAATGTTTCCTTTCATGGTGTGCAGAGTCCATGAATTTTTGGCCAGAGTGATCCCAGGAGTTTGCACTAGGCAAAAATGTATAAATGACTGAAGTGTAGCATCGTTTTTATATGTTCACCTGTAAATGTAAGCATGTAGGAACTCAAAAGGCCTTTAATTAAAATAGTGCACTGAGCAAGTATTATTGGATGACACAATATAAACTTTGTATAATTCTTTTCATGATCCCATTTAATTTTTTTATGTCTAAATGCAAAAATATTAATTTTTCAAGTCATATAATATCTAATACATAGAATATTTGTCGCTGGATTAGTTATTAGGAGACCCTTTCTCCCTGACATATGCTAATTACCTTAGGATGGATATTTCATTGCATTATTTCTCCAAAATACTTTGGAAAAGCTGACTGCATGCACAAGGTGTGTTGGGCTGTGAGCCAGGGCCAGGCTCACGTGCAGCAGGGCACGGGAGACCACAGCCAATTAACTTCATTAACATTGCTTTGACCTCTCTCAGCCATGTTTGAGGTTGTTACCAGTAAACCCTGTGGCACCCCTGGGATTTACAAGGCTTGAATTAACACCCCTTTGCTTTCTGATCTTTGAGTGCTTTTGGGGACGGGACTTGGCTCTTCCATGTCCCCAGAGTTTCTGAGGCTTTTGGCATCTCCGTGGGGTTCATGCTTGGCTTGCAACCCTGCTGGATTCACGTTGTTTGGGTGCAGAAGGCACCAGGTGTTTGTTGTTACCAATTCCATGCAGAATAAACATCTCTAGAGATGTTTGGGTGGGTGGGTGGAGTGCCTGGTGCTTTATTGAGTGTGCAGGAGGGTCAGTTTGCTCAAGGTGAGCAACTTAAAGTCCTGCTTGCACTTCTCACGTGAGTCAGCAGTCTTGGATACGCTCTGATAACATCAATAAAAATAGCCAGAACTCTTGGCCTCAGCTTTGAAGGAAAATCTGGGTGAGGAATTACCCAGCTCAAGTACAGTGGGGGGGTTTGCTCACCCCTTGTTGATGAAAAGCTGATGCTGGAGCTGCAGAGCCACACAAAGCCAGCCCAGCCCAGCACTTCCCTGACATCATCCCTGCTGCATCTGTGCCTGTAGTAAAGCCATAGGAGAGCAGCTGGAACACTTCCCAGTGTATAATGTATGTCCTGCTACCAAGCAATGCACCGTGAATCTCTGCCAGATGGATTTCACTGGGACAAATTCATTTCTGGGCTTTGAAGTGCGCGTGGCTGGGGATAATAAACTTAATGAAATATTGGAGCGAGAAACAATGCAGCATAAAATAGTGCTGCTCATTTGAGGGCCTCAGAAGTGAAACAATTCTCCAAATCCCGGCCTTGGAGTGGATGTGGGAGATGAGGGTGGCTGTACTTGGATTGAAGGGCCTGGATCTGGAAACCTGGGGGAGACTGCAGGGGCAGGGTGACCAGTGAAATGCTTTCCCTGAATACTCTTGCCAGCATCAAATGTCTGAAGTTCCCTAAACCTGTTGTGGGTTTTGACTTCATGGTTTTTGGACCCTTCTGGAGCATTTTGTTGATGCCAGGAGGGAACTGGCATAATTGTGAGGTCTTACTCCAGTGGGGCAGTGTGGAGAGCCTGGTTTAAGCATGGCT